GAAGAGGAAGAAATTGAAAGATTGTATACTGGAGTCTGGGAAGAAAGCGATCACACACCAAAATAGGACTTCCTGTTAATCATAAACTACTGGAATGCAAGATTAGGAAACAGAACAGAATCAAAGACTGTAGGAAAATTTGGGCTAGGATCAATGCAACTATTCGACAACTTGTGCACTGGGACAATGAGAACTACTATAATAAACAATGCAGAGAAATAGAAGATGAAAACAAAAAAGAAAGAAGAGACCTCTTACACAAGATCCAGGAAAGCAAAATGAAATTTAAACCAAGAGAAGGGATGCTATGCAACCAGCAGGGGAACATACTACATGACCAAGTACAAATAAAAAGACAATAGGAACAATACAGAACTATACAAAAAAGATGAAAGGATGACAGATTCATTCAAGGAAAAACCATTTGAAGATGATCCTCCAGTTTTAGAAAATCAAATGGAAGCTGCACTCAGAGCACCTGTAAAAATAAATTATCAGGAACAGATGGGCATATCAATAGGACTACATTAAGCTACAGAAACAAAATCTACTCTACTTCAACTAAAATCTGCCAGCAAATAAATAAGACAAATAAATGGGTCCTACAGCAAATCAAGTCTGAACGCCCCAAAGAAACCAAGAAAACTAAACTGACATTGTTGTACTTTGGATATATCATGAGAAGACATGCCTCACTAGAAAATACAATAATGCTTGGTAAAGTAGAAGGCAGTAGGAAAGGAGAAGACTGCATTCCAGATAGACAGACTCAAGAACCCACAGCCATGAATCTGTAAAACCTGAGCAGGGCTGTTGATGATAGGGTGACATGGAAGTCTCTCATTCATAGGGTCACTATGAGTTGAAATCATCCTGACAGCAGTTAACAACAAGGAAGCTGAATGGATATGCCCAAGTTACTTGGACTATGAATTGCACACACTGTGCCTGACAGCAGCAAAGGCAGGAGGTGTTGCCTGAAACCCTGAAGTGGGTGCTTTAAATACAGTCGCTGGAAGACTAGGAAAGAGGATTTGCCACTACTGCTGCCTTCCCCACCTTTATGGGAAGAGGAAAAAATGAGGGAGGGAGGTGTGAAACAAAAATACCCCTTTCTGAATCTCAGGCTGCTATGGCTCTTGGAAAACAGACTTAGTGCTATCAGTGAAGGCCAGTGGTCCTTTTTTCTTTTTTGGCTTGCTAATTTTGATTTCTGTACCAACCCTTCATTATTTCAGTATACTATTAAATGTAGCCTCTGTTTTATGAATTCCTTTTGCTTTATTGTACATTAGTATGTTCTGTAAAAAAAACCACTGCTTCAAAGTGACATTACATTAACTAATTCCAACTTCACATTACTGGAAGAGGGTTATTAGAAGAAGAAGAAGAACGCAAAGGAAGGTATGAGACTATATCAATGCCAAATAAGAAACCATCCTTTTAAAATCAGAATCAGCTTCAGTTAAAAAAGGGAAAGAGTTGGAGAAAATTACCTGATAATTGCTAGCTATGATTTGTTATCACACACATACTTTGCTGTTTGAGTGTTGCTGTGAACATTGGGAAATGAACAGTCATTTGTATCTTCATTTTTAAGGTACAGTGTGTTGGTTATATACCTGTATGATACACACACACACACACACACACACACACACACACACACACCCCATAGGTCTCTTGATAAGAGAAGAGATGAGAGATGTTCTTTCACTCTTCCGAAGTCTGACATTAGCAAGGCAAAGGATTTCTGTTACTGCCTACCAATTTCCCTGCTGCCAAAGGGGGGGAAAAAAAATGAAGCCACGAATACTAGAACAAGTTATAGCAACTGGCTGTGTGGGTGGGGTTGATGAATGGATGAATACTTTCAAAGCTGGTTAAGCAACTGAGGTTAGGACACATCTACGGCATGCCTCCCTCCTACATTTGGTCACAACAGGGGTAGGCAACCTTTCCCCTTTAAGGGCTGAGGGACTTCAGCTCCCAGAATCCCAGGAGCTATTGGCCAACATGGGACTATTGGCCAACATGGCTGAAGCTACTGGGAGCTGAAGTCCCTCGGCCCTTAAAGGGGAAAGATTGCCTACCCCTGGGTCACAACATAACATTGAAAGGTGTTGTTTAAATTCCACAACTTTTAGAAAAGGCATGCAATTAGTTCCGCTCTCTCATTTTGTCCGTCCTTGAGATATTCCTCTTAAAAATGGACTAGAGGTTGAGTGAGTCTCTCTTATCTGAAAATCCAAAATGCTCCAGAATTTTCCACATGAGTGACTAAAATAATGACACTTTTGTTTTCTGATGGTTCAACGTACATAAACTTTGTTTCATACACAAAATGATTAAAAATATTGTATAAAGTTACCTGCAGACTATGTATATAAGTTGTATATGAAACATAAATGAATTTTGTGTTTATACTCGGGTCCCATCTCCAAGACATCTCATAATGTATATGCAAATATTCCAAAATCAAAAATAATAAAAATAAATCTGAACTCCAAAACACTTCTTGTCCCAAGCTTTTCAGATAAGAGATACAGTTGCCCCTTCGTTCTTGCAGACTTCATGTGCGCGGTTTTATATATTCACAGAGGGGCTACCTCCATTTAAAACAATGGGGTATGTACCCCATTCAAGCCTATAGGGCTTGAATATTCACGAGTCTCTGTTTCGTGGGGATCTGGAACAGATCCCCTGCAAAAATGGAGGATCAAATGTATTCTATAAAAACAAATCTTTAAAATAACACTACAGTGTTTGGAAGAATTAAAAGACATGGATCCCATTGATGATGCATGTTTCAAGATTTCCAGAAACTTCCCTATTTGCTTGAACACATCAGTATTCAAAGTATATGCAAGATACACCCCCCGCTGTGGTTTGAAATTGCAATACAAGTCCCTCTATTCAGTTGCATGGCTTGAAAAAAATGGGGTCCTAACTGGACAGAAACTTCCAAGTGTCTTTACCCTCAATACTCAATTCAGATCTTTGCACCAAATGCAGGAAGGCCAGAAATGCAACAGATAGGGATGCTGGAAGTGAAGCCACCATGTACACGTCTGCACCCCATCACTCCTCCTAACCTCATATGTGCAGGCAAAAATGTTACAACTTCTGACAGTTTTCCTTAGTTCCTTTAAAAAAAAGATTTTTAATATTCTGATTCATCACAGAAAAAACTGTTTTTAGTTAATCTAGCACATTTGTGTAAGAACCTTAAATATCAGCCCCAACAGAAGTACCTGAACATCACCATCACTATTATTGTTGTTTTGTTATTCTGTTTATTTATATCCCACCTTCCTCCCAGTACAGGGACTCAAGGCGGCTTCTTTCAAGTATTTTTTTTTAAAAAAGAGGAAAAAGGAGACACACTGGCCCTCTGCAATTTAATGTAAATACTGAGCTGGTCTTAGGGAGCAATAGTGTTCATTGCTATCATCAAGAGGTACTGGCTTTTCAAAACCAACACACACATACCAGAAGCAATGCTCCCACTGCTTGGACAGCTGCTTTTCATAGGACTTGCCAGCCAGATGAAATACCAAAGCTTAGCTAGATAACATTATATAAACAAGCAAGATTCCACAAAGAACCAGACTGTCAGACTCCTATAGGAAAAATTCATTTTGGACTTTGCATTTTCAGTCTGCCATATATTCCTAGTGTATTATTTCCTCTGGGAACTGTGCAACATTGGTTAACAGCTCTGGAAACTACATCAAAGACAGAATTACTTCCATTAAGGAGAGCAGAAGCACTTCAGGAGGCTTTGGGAATGAGGCCAATGACTCATTAAGAGCAATGGGCTGTTCCTCAAACCCATAGATCTCCATTACTGAAGGCAAAAGTAAACAGACATAACTTAAAAATGGGAAAAGCTTCAGGCCTCATATGTGCTTTACAGACAATCTACTAAATTGTGTGTGTGTGTGTGTGTGTTTTAAAAAAAAAAACCTGATATCACACAAGCCTCTTCCACAGAGATCCAAACAAGCTTCTTTGTAATGTGATACATCTGGCAGGGGAACAATTTGTTTAAAAAGTGATGGAACAAGCAGAGATACAGAAAGTTTTAAAGGAAACAGATATATAGTGAACTTTGACTCAGGCTGCTTCCTTTGACCAGCACAGACATGGAAGCAACTGGAATAAGCAAGAAAGAAAAACAAGATATAAAATCCAACTAATCTGATTTATGCGGAAGCCAAAATTTAGTAATGAAACAACAAACTCTAAACAAACAGGACTGTTTAAAAACAGATCTCCAAAAAGAAATTCCAAAACCTTTATTAGAGCAATACCATTGTTACACTAACCAAAATGTCACAAGTGTATGTGTCCCTGTGTGTTACTTTTTGAGATTAGCAGAAATTTTTGAAGGCTAGATGGTTTCCAAAGCCAGGAAAAGAGGGGAAGAGAGGAAAAGTCTGGCTGATGTTGAAACTATCGAGTCTGCATTTAGTAGCCTTGAGGAGGAGGCTGCAAATGTTCAAACCAAGCTCTTCTAGGTGCTGTGGAGATTTCACGTTGCACCTAGGATTTCTGGAACGAAGAAAAAGATGTCTAGTGGCACTTCTGATAATATAAAATTCTGTTTTGTCCAACCATGTATTTTCTGATTAAAGTCACCCTGGCAAGTTGTAGCTCATAGTCAAAGTCAGCTCTCTTTTTCATTCCTTATAACAGTAGTTTCTTCTGTGCTCACTTCCTGACACATTTGCTCCACTCTCCCAATGAAGTAGGTTGGTATACAGCCTTATGAACCAATGCAGTGGTAAAACCTAGAAAATATCAAAACACACAACTTCTTCCAACTAAAAGATTATGGTTGTTGTGTGCCTTCAAAGTTGTTTCTCACATATGGTGACCCTAATGCAAACCTATTGTGAGGTTTCTTGGCAAGATTTGCTCAGAGGGAGTTTGCCATTGCCTTCCTCTGAGGTTGAGAGAGTGTGAGTTGCCTAAGGTCACTCAGTGGGTTTCCATATCCAAGCGGGGATTTGAATCCTGATCTTCAGAGTTGGAGTCCAATGTTTAAACCACTATACCACACTGTCTCACACTAAAAGATAATACACAAAACTAAACTAAACTAAACTAAACTAAACTACCAGTAACGTATAATACACACAATCCCCAATCTTAAAACAAAACAACTGATTAAAGCAGCAGAACTAAGCTGACTATATGGAATAAGGGAATGGCAACAATGGGACAGGGTTATGTAATATTCTGCACTCATGAAAAAGTAAGATGCCAACAAAAGTTACAACCACAATTTCAAACAGGGATCTTCAAACCATTTGAACAAGGCATTTTTCTTAAAAATGGGAGAAAATTGACATTTATATTAAAACAACAGGATGGTCTGGAAATGTGCAAAAAAAAAAAATGGTTCTCTCCTGTTTAAAAAGATACATATGGTCAGCCTATGCAGAATCCAGGAACCCCAAGCCCTGGCTCAATCCCTTTCTCTGTTGCATTCAGAGATGAAGGCATAGTCACTCGTATTCTGAAAACCTATGTCTTGGTCCATCCTCACTTTTTATCTTTTGTTTCTTTGTTGCTTGCAAACTCTCTAAGGACCTTATCAC